AAAGACTGGTCTCACCAAGCTCAGCCTTTTACGCTTTTTCCCAGTGGACCCCTCCCGAGGTGTATTGTGCAAGCATGTACTTAGCTCCCAAGTGCATGACTTTAAATTTTTCTAGATTAAAACTCATGTGCCACATTGCTGAGCATTTTCCAATTTTGTTGAGATCTTGCTGTAGTGATTCTATGTCCTGTTGCAAACTTATTGCCCTACATAATTTTGTGTCATCAGTAAACACAGACAGTGACCTATTTATTCCCACCCCTATATCATTTATGAACAGGATAAACAGAATAAGCCCCAGGACTGAACCCTGAGACAGGCCACTCACTACTTTGGTCCAATGTAAGAATGATCAGTTTATCCCTACCCTCTGGATGCAGTCCTGCAACCAGTTTTCTACCCATGTGCACACAGTTTATTGAATGCCAATCAACCTTAGTTTGTATATCAACCATTTGTGGGGCACTGTATCAAACGCATTTGCAAAGTCTAAATAGTTGACATCCACTGGCATTCCTCTATCCACCCTGCAACTTAATTCCTCATAGAATGTTAGTAGATTTTTCTGGCAAGAGTGGCCTTTCAAAAACCCATGTTGGTTAGTACGTATGATACAGTTTTCACACTCAAACTTTTGAATATAGTCCCTGACCATTCCCTCAAAAACTTTGATTATTATTGATTTAAGGCTGACTGGTCTGTAGTTTCCAGGTATACAGCTTGCTCGTTTTTTGAATATCAGCACCACATTTGCTTTCCTACAATGCTCTAATACCTTTCCCCTAAAAACAGGAGAGATGAAAGTGTTTAAAACCTCTGCTTTCTCCCTATCACTTGTAACCAGCTTTCCCTGCTCATTGTTTATGGGGCCTATGTGCTCCCTCTTTATTTTGTTACTATTTATGTATTTGTAGAATTTCTGGAGGTTATGTTTACTTTCTATATCGATCTGTTCCTCATAGCCTATTTTTGCTGTTCTAATGGCTTTTTTTTTGCATTCCTTGTAGTGCTTGAATGCCATTTGTGACCCTTCCATCTTATGTTTTTTAAAGGATGATTGTTTTCTCAATTATTCATCTTTTAACTTTTAACCACCCTGGTTTACCTTTTAAAGTTTATTAGTTAATGGTATACACTGGTGATTATTGTTGTTTAATACGGTCTTAAAGCATATTAAACAGAAGACTGATTCTTTGTTCATCACCCCAGATAGTCCCAGGAAGGGACAGGTTCGTCCTCCTCCTCGACCACTATATCCAGGATTCATCAGACGGTGGTGGCTTTTCATCACCAGACTGGAGTTGCCCAAGTTTGTAAGGCTGCCTGCTTTCTGGTCTTCTGTCCACACTTTCTCTAAATTCTATAGGGTGAATATTGCGAGTTTCGTCCGCAAGGTCTTGCAGGCAGCCGTGCGAGCGTCTCATTCGATTATGGGTAAGGTATGGTTAACCCACCCTCTATTTTCACTGCTTTAGGACATCCCGTTGGTCAGGATCCTAGGAATCCTTCAAATAAGTGCCCTTCAATGAACAGAAGAGAAAGCAGGACTTTTGTACTCACCATAAAATCCTTTTCTATACGTTAATTGAAGGACACAGCACCCACCCTCATGTTGACTTACTGTGTTGCTATTTGTTTATTGCTTGCTACTAACTGAGTTGATTGTTGCAGTCTGTTTTGCTCTTTTTTTGCCCAGCGTCCTACACCTGCAGGTAATGTTATAACCCATCGATCAAGGTCCTAAGGATCATGCTTGTCCTTCAATGAGCAAAGTGAAAAGGATTTTACGTTGAATACAAAATTCCTATTTTCAGGGCTCAAAATTTCCACTAGCCTGCTCGCATTTGCCGAGTAAAAAAAGGTGAGGGCGAGTGGAAATTTGGTCCAACTCTGGCCCGCGAGCCGGTACTATGTGGCCTTGCGGGGTGGGGGTTGTAACGTTGAGAAGTGTATTATTGTGTTTTAAGCTGGCCATACCATACACCTTACAATCATCGTACGACTTTCGTTATGCGATGGTTGTAAGGTCATTAAAATCTCGTGCGATCTGCCCATCTTGGACAGGCAGATTGTACTTGCGATGATTGCAGTGCTAACTTGAGCACATTGGCCCGTGCAGCATTCGTCTGCCGACCATGCCACCAAAAATCGTACGATTTTCGGCAGGTTTTCCAGCGATTATCGTACAATAATCGGCAGGTGTATGGGCACCTTTAATGTATGTGTATATTAAGCCCATTCACACCTACAGTATATGTCAGGTCTGATTAGAGATTCCTGTGTCAGGAACTTGCGTTTTCCTGCAGCAGGAATCCCTAATCTGCCGTTTACAAGCGGCAAATATCATAAGAATTATCATAAGATTATTTAAGAGGGTGTGTTTAGGGGCGGAGTTAAGGCCGGGGCAGGGTTAAGGCTGTCACACACTGCCCGCAAAGCAGCGCGAAGCGGTGGCGCGCTGCCTTTGCGAGCCGTGTGTCATGTCATTTTCCCCTGGGCACCTCATCTGGCGAGAGTTCGCGGAGCTGAGCGCGCCGAGATGAACAATTTCAACTTCCACCAATCGGCTCGCGCGTAAAAAACGGTGTGATGGGATGCGACGTCTGGCCTGTTGTTAAGCACGAGCTGATTGGCTGAAGGTGCAGTCAATCATCTGACTGCACTCAGCTCACACACTGCACGCAAAGCTCTGTGCCGGATAGCTTTGCTTCGCTCTTTCATCACCGTTCCGTGCACGTTCTTCCCCAGCCTTCTGTCACTTCCACTTCATCACGTCCCAAGAACACCGTTATCAAGACCATAGGCAGCTTCTTCACTAGCCCCTTGGCACACACAGCATTCAGTTTATATTGATTCTTCATCCATCCCTTCACTTGCTGGGAGACACTGAACACATCTCGCATAGCTAACATTCCAAGAGGGCACTCCATGTCAGAACCCCGGCTCCTCAAGTAAGTCCTCAATCCTTTGTTTTTCGATGAATTTTTGTTCTCTCCACCCGTCACACATAGCGCTGTTTGTTCCTATACCCTCCACACTCCCAGGATTTGCGCTCTTATTGCCTCTTTTACTGCTTCGCGTGCAGTGTGTCACGGCCTTAAGGGTTAGGTGGGGCAACTGGTGGGAAGTGACTCCTAAGGCCTGGCTAGTAGCTCAGGACTTGACACTCTCAAGAGGTCAACAACAAGGGGTCAACAACATTACAATGGCACAAGCCTGTGAACGGAACAACATTATACATACAGGTGAAACTCGAATAATTAGAATACCGTGCAAAAGTAATTTCAGTAAGTGCTGCAAAAGGGGCCCAAACCAAGTATTGAGTACATATGCATGCTTGTACTTTTCAGAGGTCCGATATTGTTCTATGTACAATCCTTGTTTTATTGATTGCATGTAATAATCTACTTTTTTGAGGTTGTGGATTTGGGGTTTTCATGAGCTGTAAGCCATAATCATCACAATTATGATCAATCACAGCTTGAATTATCTTGCTTTGCATGTAATGAGTCTATCTCATATATTAGTTTCACCTTTTAAGTTGCATTAGTGAAATAAATGAACTTTGCACGATATTCTAATTATTCGAGTTTCACCTGTATCTGTCCATCAGCCGTTTGCTAAAACTTCACTCTGCCGCAGAGCTATTAGCACTGATTTGACTCATCAGGCTGGACAAACAGCAGGTTTCCGTGCTTGCCATTGTGGTTCCTCCTTATGACTCAGAAAGTGCAGAGCGCAAAAGGGATGCAACTGTTGGCAGGAGGAACCACAGTGACCGGTGGGGGACACACTATTCTACACACCCAAACGAAACGGACCAAAGTAGACATATGTATATGAGATATGTTTTCTTCACAGGTTAGCACTTTGATAGCAAAGAGGTTCAAGCACAAGATTTTCTTATGATCGAAGTTTAGGTACAAGGGGTTCCTATGTTTGAGGTGCTAATGCTAGGTTGCTCTGCCTTTAATGTCATCACAGTAGTTTCTATGTTTTTTTAGCAAAAGTAAATAATAAAGGCAACAAACTTCTGTTTGCTCAGAAGAGTAAAGGCTCTTTACTATGTAATAATAAATGCACAAGAGAGTAGTTATTAAAATGGAAGTAAACTTTCTACAAAACAAAACTGACAATCAGCAGGCTCTTCTGCCATAAAAAACTATTTTTGATGCATTCAGCAATTTTTTTTTTCCTTACACTGAGCCAGCGTGCCGAGATGAGGCAGCTTCAATGTGTATGCGCAGAATTTACAGCACCAGAGCTTGGCCAATCAATCAAGCGGCTGAAGACTCACAACCAGGAAGAAGTTGGAAGCATGGAAGCCTCGACAAGGGAAAAGTGCAGTGCTGAAGGGGATCAGTTTTGCAGATAAGCCTGCCATAATGTGTTAATATGGTGTGCATACTAGCACAGTATGGCTAAAAGCTTCAGGCTCCCACCCCTTGTTTTTCTCATTGGTCAGCGCGGTCAGAATCGCTTTTCATTGGTCATAGCGGGAATGTGGGGAGCCAAATTAGACGGGGTAATTCCATTTTCCAAAATTCACCTGGGAGAGTGGAATCGCCCTTTAATCCAAAACGGAAAAAAAAAAAACATTGGATATACATGATAGGCTGAGAAACACTTTTCCAAAGAAACCAATTGGATATATGCCTTCATTTTGTAATGTGCGCTAGAAGGAATGACAGCTAGAATCAGACTGGTTGCCAAGGATGACACAGTTTTCTTGTTTACATTATGTGTTTTTCTAAGTGAACACACACACATTCAACTAAAATTTTATGCTGTGAAAGGCTATGGAAACTTTACAATCTGAACATATATTTACCTGGCCCTTATACTGTTCTCATATTCTAGAGTCACATGACCTGAAATGCAAGAGTTGAGGAATACATCTGACACCCGTCCACATTTTATCTGCAGGACAATCCTGATAAGAGACTGGAGGGCCTGCACAAGCTAACATGTGCACTGCAGACAGACACAGCTGGCCTTACCTTAAGATACAAAAGCAGCTTTTAGCGCCTGAAGATAATCGGCAGAAGCCGAACCTCTGCTTGCTGTCAATGTCAGTCAGCACAAATGTAAAGTTCTGCCCAACATGACTGGCCGAAAGGCTGAAAACAGAAGCAGAGACAGAAGACAGCATGTAAGTTAATATCACAAAAGAGTGACAACATAAAAACATGTCAGTGATCACATTTGTTTCAGTAACAAGTATCCAACATACCTCTGAGCTCAGGTTTATTAGGCAGTTTTATGCAAGCCATGATATAGGTGTATTTCCCATACTTAACAGAAAACAGTATATGCCCCACGTGTGTTGCAGACAATATTTT